AGAATTAAGCTTCATAAATCATAATTAACTAATACAAGATTCCTAAAACTAGACATATCTTTCACTGGTTCTGAATTTATCAGCACATGAAGTTTATTCTTCTAGATTCTTAGAGTTGCCAGGAAATAAGATACTCTAAATAAAAATCATCTTGATTCATGGTATGAAATGAAACCATGCCAACACCACCATACTACAAACGGCACTCCACAAAAATTGGACGAACAAACCCATTCAATACGGTGTCCATCTAGCATGGCGAACCAGATAGATACTTAATTCCCCACTTGTTGACTACGAAACTAGTGTTGAGTGTACTAACATTACATTGCATGAATAATTTTGTCTGAGAACCTCTTCACAGACTGTTGTCCACTTTTGTCATCTATAGCTCCTTTCATAAACAATCATCATCTGGGATACTGACTTGGAACGTGATCATCATGTAGTCCTTTTTATATGCATTCTTAAATTTGTAAAATTGTACGAACATTTAGCAAAATGTGTCAATTTGTAAGATCACATTAGGATTTTTTTCTCAGAAATCCAAATAAAACTTAGAATTTTACAAAGGGTAAACTGACTTACTAGGATCCTACTGACATGTAAGGCTAAAAATAAATAAATCCTAAAAGTCTAATGATATTATATGTTCCTTATCTCAACTAAAAATAAAAATCCAAATAAAATCTTAGAAAAGGTTAAACTAATTTACTAGCATCCTACCAACATGTAAAGCTATAAATAAATAAATCCTAAAAGTTTGTAGTTTACTAGGATCCTACCAATTTCATGTGACGACATGGCGAAGAGTCAAATTATTTCTGAATAATATACATCTTAAGAAAAGAGCTATCTGGTCCAAGCAAACAATGTATATGGGATGACGAGGAACATATATAGAATATCAATCGAAAAGGAAGATCTTAAATTAAAAGTGATACTCACATCTCTTTAGTTCCATAAAAGTAGACCAGCAACTTCTTTTTAGCTACAATAAACTTCTTTTTAGCTGCAGGAAGGTCCCATTGCTCTGGTTCAGTTATCTGTAACAGTATGGGAATTTAATTCAGGGATTGAGATCCTCAACATGGATATTTTCAGTTCCCTGGTTGGTCACGGTGGCAAAACCAAATGTGGTCGCCGGATTTGGATGGCTGGAGTACACCGTAGATGAAGAGCTCGAAAAGAAAGTAATTGTCTATCACTTATAACCATGAAAATTTCAACAGCAAATCTAGGACTATAGGTTAGTATCAAAGTTCATGGTGATCGAGAATGTTATCCTATGCATATTAACACCTACGTAATACTACATAACACGCAAAAGTAAGAAAGCCATAAAAGTATAACTGCAAGAAAATGAGAAATGAGTATTTGACAGAGAAGAAAATATCTAGAGAAATCCGTGTTCACAGCAGACACCCCAATTTAAGTGTGGAACAAACTGCATAAAATTCTAGAGACATGTGCTGAACTTTAGAGATCTATATGTATCATTTCACTATTGATAGAGTTCATTTCCTCGTTGTTTATGAAATTTCCGAAACAAAAATAAACAAAGAAGCAGCATTAAGATCCTGCCCCTCAATGCTCAGAATATTAATCAATTAGTAACTGAACCTACTTATGTTGCCCTTAAATACCACAGGTTAAAACTCATCCGAAAGGAGCTTACCCGTATCACCTATACCACAACTATGCCTTGAGATCTATAAATGTTGACGTGGACTGAGTATTTGATGAACTGCTATAGAAAATGAACAAAAACAAACCAGAAAGTACTTCAATTGGTGGTTATCAAAAAATTTCCAAATCCCACACTCATGACTCATGAGAAAGAAAACAAGAATTATATCAACCAAATTCATGGTGCCCACCAACCTTAAGAGCCAAAATCACCAGGGCTTTAAATCATGCTCTGAGAAACTTCATAATAAACCAAGTGAGAGTGGTGCAAGGTTGGCTTCAAATGCAAAGAGATTATAAGGATTGACAGATCCACTTTAAAGGATATCGTGTTTCCATTAATGAAAACATCAATGGCTGCTTCCAAATCTTCACCAGTTCAAGTAATGTGGGGGGTACGACCCGGATACCCACGGCAGACCACATGGGCTGCGCCCCCAGGGGCGGCCCAACCCACAAGATGAAGCCTTGCGGGGCATGACGCTGCTTGGCGTCTCCCGCAAGGCACCGAGAAGATATCCTGAAGATACTACGAGATCTGTTAGGATACGTATGATCCCATGATTCCTGTAATCTGTTATTACTTTCCGGTTATCTCCTAGATCTAACTGACTTGTAACCCTGCCCCCCAGACTATATAAGGCGGGCAGGGACCCCCTCCGAACACACGCAATATCATACGATAGCCAATACAATCCAACATACCACAGGAGTAGGGTATTACGTCATACTGACGGCCTGAACCTATCTAACTCGTGTGTCTCTGTTGCCTTCTTGTTCTCGATTACACGCATCTCTGCCGATCAATCTACCTTCATGGGATACCCCTCGGAAGACTGCCGACAATACAATATATAATCCTTAGAGGACCAAACTGCCGAGGAATATAAAACAGTATGCAAGCATCAGAAATAACAAAGCCAAGTAGCCAAGTATCAAAGAACCATTTGAAACTTCACAGTTCCATATGCCCAAGCTAATTGCACATTGGCACTGTGGCCAACCGTGACCAACCAGGGAATACCCAAGGTGAGGAAAGACAAGCATGGGACAGGGATTCTAAAGAGAATCATAGTGAATGGAACCGAACAACAGACTGAGAGACACCAGTTGGTTCCCCAAAAGCTGGCACAGTTCTTCCACAACCAGAAAATCACCATGTTGCATCCAAGTACCTAAACCGTTCAGAAACCACTGAAACCAACACGTTGGCACTAACAAGCAAAACACTTAGCACCTCTGATTGGCCTAAAGGATCAGGATTTAGTTGAAATATAGACTATAACCCTTGGTCACAAGCTTATGGCATGGGGAACCAACATTTGCTCCAACAAACGTTTTTTATCTAGCACATCTTCATCAATATCAAAGGTAAACAAGCTCCCATATACCAGCCGATTAAACTCTACAACCCCGATTAGCAGAAGGAAGAGATCTCAATTGCAGTAATCATTCACTTAACAAGGCAATCAATATTTGAGAAACAATATGACATTGCAGTGAGAAATTATACTTAGGGCATGGAACTAGTGGAAACTTGCGAACTGGTCAGAACAGATTCACGGCAAGTTGGTCACCACTGATCTCATATACCGAGAAACCCCTGAACATGCCAAGCCTCACTAAAGGCAGCACAAAAACTAGAACATAATTGTAAAGGTCTGCCAAATCAAAATGAGCAGCCATAGAAACCTCAACTTTTAGTAGGGATTACCGTCCGTAGTAGCACCGTAAAAAAAAGACTGCTCTCGTCAAACGACGAACCCTAGGCAAGCTCTCCAACTATAGCTAGAATCCCCAAACTGCGTGATGCTTAAACTAGTGCCGGGGGCGCCGGATCAGAGAGAACAAGTGGCCAGTGCTACTCACCATGGCCGGCCACGCCGGGAAGCCCTTCATCTTAGCGAGCACGAGGTCGCCCACCTTCCACTGCGCCGCCGCGGCTGCTGCGGCGGCGGCGGCCGCCGCCCCGCGCTTCTTACGGGCCGGCGGCATTGCTGACCCTCCCGCCCACCCGCCACCGGCGCTCAGAAGGAAGCTCCGTTGCGGCTAGCACCAGAAGCGGCAGCGCCGCCGGATGCTGAAGGGGTGGAAGCGGGTCCAGACTTCGTGGTGACGGCGGCGGCGGCGGCGGCGGCGAGGGAGACAGGAGGCATGTAGCGCCGGAGTGGGATGCCAGAGTCCCGGTTAGGCTTCGAGAATTCTCCCTTTCCGATTTGATTTTACTGGCTCTCTTTTCCAACTTTTTTTATTTCTATATATATATATTTTTTTGCTGTTGCTTTTTGAGTTTTTGTTATGTGTTTTTAGGAGTTTCTTTTGGCAAGAAAGATGTTATTTTTATTTTATTTTATTTATTTATTTTTGCTGCTGGCTAGCAAAAATCCTAAAAGGCCAATCACGCCCATGAACTTGAGGTATATTGAAGGATAGGTGCTTATAGCCATAGCCACGTTTAAAAGCACAATAGTGTAAATTTCGATAGGACGGAGGAGTAAGCACTAGTGTAAATCGTACGTTAGCCACTTGTAATAAAGTTTTTATATTTCTGTAGATCGATGCGATGTATGATTGTGATAATGGTTCCAAATTAGCTAACCAAAAACCTTATTGAGAAAACCGTGATTTAAAATTCTTGGTCGTGACAAGCACTCGGGCGCATCGAGTGTAGAGTCTAAATTTAGACCAAAGGAACACCAAAAATTAAAATTGGGAGAATGAAACAGGAAGACAGAGCCAGAAATCAGCAAAAGTGATTGTTATTATGATAACTATTACGCTACTAACCTTGGCGATTCCATCGCGTCATAACAAGCGGGCAAGGTCAATGGACCGAGTGTGCTGGGTTCATCTTCCTTGGCTACCGAAGTGGAAATGACGACAGGTAAATATTAGAGTTACCTTGAGCTTAGAAGTGGGGTGCAAAGCTCTAAAAGGTTACAAAAATAATTTTGTTCCTTGTCAACTACTCCGTACTATCAAGTATCAACCTCATCATTTGAAACAAACAGAAAACTAAACATAGATGAGTCTCCTATGGAGTATCGCATTGTACACTGCTTAGTACTTGATCACTTCACTAGTTGACTACAGAGAAACCATGGGAAAAATGAAGCGCAACGCTTCATCATTAGTTGGTTCCCGATGATAACTACGAAAAACCATCAAAAAATGAAGCACTCGGCAGTGGGGCTGGGGCTGCTGAAGGTACATGAATCATTCGCATTAGATCAATCCTTCAGGAAATCACAAAGAAACGAATCGCCAGGAATTCACAAACTGCACAGCTCGTTGTTCGTTGCATAGAAGACTCAAACTTTGTCAGCAGCATCCAGTGATGTGCCCTCTGAACTTCTGACTGCAGCCAGCTTCTCGGCTAATCTTTGCTCCAGCGCCCGTTGACCCCTCTCTCTACAATGAGGCAAACAAGCATTATGCCTGACAGAATAGAACCACGGTTGCACGCAACCAGCAACTGGCAAGTGCCAACAGAGTCATGTGCTATGAAACCACCAAATGGAGCTACAAGCTACGGCAATAGTTGAACAAAGACAGAAAACATGACAGTCACAGGAACAATGTGTGACTCCACTAGCTCATGGACTTGACAACAGAAAACATGACGGTCTAGAACCCATGAGGAAGAATCCAGGATCATTTGTTTGTCAAAAGGCAGGGCAACAGAAGTAATATTGCTTGGACCGAAGGATTGCTTATTAGGAACAAAATGTTACAAGCAGGAAAAAGTAATGCACTGATAAAACTGAAGACAAAGCCACGAAAGCTAACCTCCTCCTGTTTGCCTCAATTGAATCTGAACCAGGCAGTGGTGAGGTATCTAATGTTTGTCCCCTGGCATCAGATCTTTCGGATCTTCCACAAAGTAGCCTATGGAATACAGATGCTATTGGGTCGAGAATTGGTCTGAATGTTTTGACAAATTTGTCAGAATATACTTCAGTGAACTGCAGAATAGTCTAGAGCTTCTATATAGGGAAAATGAACTACCTTACAAATTCAGGGAAGAAGCTTGAGAAAGAGAACTCCTCACTTGGATCTCCTTTCAGGCCAGTCTCAAGTCTCTTTTGAAAGTAACGGAGGTAGATCCAACTCATATAAATGCCAAACAACAGAACTGGGAGGTAAGACATCAAGTCATTTACGAAGAAGCTTACAACAATGGAGATCAATGCAACAAGAGATGGAATCCACTGTGTAGCCAGAAAAAATAAGATCGTTAGCAAACATTAATGGTAGCATGAAAATTAAGGTTACTTTTATTGATATTCGAAGAGACCGACCTTTGCCTTGATCTTTAGCACAAAAAGATTAAGCTCTTGATCAGGTAAAAGCTGTTTAATGCCCACCAACAATCCTGATAGAACCCCATAAAATCCAGAAAGAGGAGTATACCTGAAAAAACAGATTGTAAGAACACCAAGGCTGGACCTAATATGAAATGTCAAACTACTTATTTTGTAGAGATAAGAGAAATACAGTACTTACAGGTAGATCTCTTGCTGAGTTATATAGTACAGCACAATAGCAGTCATGAAGACACAAGCAGAAGTTGAAAAGTTGACAATAAAGATGAACTTTGATAACTCTTTTGAACCCCATAGAGGTTCTAAGAACTTCCCAAATAAAAGAAGACCGATGATGCTGACAACCACCTGCACAAATATTGGTCATGTGAGTTGAAGGAGCTCTGATATGTTAATAAACATGACATATTTGTAAAGGACCAGTAAGCAGATGCATTAACAAATGTGATGCAATATGTTATTTAGCACAAAAACAGCAAACAGCACATCAAACACTCCAGGGAAAAACATCTATAAAACAGAACGCTAGTATTTTTCATTGCCTAAGGTGACATTCAAGTGTACAACAAACATCTAGAAGAACTCTAACCACTGTAATAAGAGAAAGCTAGAAGCTAAATTAAGTTAGTATTTATTTGAATGCGATTGATTCCATGACATAAGTTACATCCAAACAAGCAGAAACCAACACAATGTACTATACTCTACCCCCTACCTGAATTTCAACCAGTTCATTACCTGTTTTGAGTTAGCTGCTTCTTTCGATAGCTAATTACATATAAGCATCATTAGGTTTTTGTCTTGATTTGGAAGTACTTTTTCTTTCACATGAAAGTGAAAGGATAATAAACATGCATATATGAGGAAGGTGCTCTGAATAAATTAAATGATGGGATGGAAAAATTTACCCCTGGAATTGTTTGCTCGACATAGCCAGCAGTTAGCAGGTTCCAAGCAAAAGGGATCGTCCTGCAGATATAAATCAAATAGCTGAATATTCAAGACACGCATTTGGTTCAGTGGTTTTTCCTTTAGAGAATATCTGGTAAATTAATTTCATAGGCCAAAACAAACCAGATGCAATGCTGAATGCAGCCCAGACATCTAGTGGTGAAACCGTGAAACCAACTAACCGACATGTCATTAATTTAACACACTGACTAATTATTATAATTACAATAACTCAGCACTCAGCAGCTTAAACCTGCATTTCAAATGGATGTTCTGGTTACCAATATCAGTAGCTCCACATAATAGTCAGTACTAAGTATTTCACCTCAGAGGGTGACTAAGAAACAATTTGGCCATTGAGTGCGGTGGTAACTAGGAAACAGATCTAGGGCAAACTAGGAGCCAAGCAGGCAACTAGTAAAAGATGTTACTCTGGATACAGAATTCCAACAGAGTGGAGATCTGAGCTTCTACCTTCCAGGGATAAGCGTGAGATAGGTGACAGCGGACGGGAACAGCTGGACTACAAGGTGCACAAGGAGCAATATGACGGCGAGGCCCTTGCACAGCTTCGTGTACCCCCTGAAGAAGCCTCCACTCTGCATTCGTTGGCGAGACCAGATGTCATGAGAGCGAGAACGGAGTTTTTTTTTTCATTCGAACACACGGCATTTAATCGGTGGCGAAGGGCAGGATGAGACATACAGTAATTTCAAACATAATTCTGTCGCCAGACAATAGCAAACAACAAATTGGTTAGCCTGTGGAGAGCAGCACGCGCGAACGCACTGGGGCCGAATCAAAATCTTAGATACGGCAGATAGTATCAGATCACAAGGTCGCCTGATTCATGGCGCCCGCCCTAAACAAACAGGCTACTCCCAGATCTAGCGAGAAACGGGAGAGGTATACCCCGGCGGGAAGAGAGAGATGGAGAGAGGTGTACCCCGGCGGGAAGCGAGGGCGGCGAAAACGAGCTGCCGCTCATCATAGTGGCGGCCGCCGCTTGCACTTGCTGCTGCTGGATTTCTTGCTCGGGATCGCCGCGGAAGGAATTAGCGGAGTGCAGAGCAAGCAAAGCAGGTTGTGGGGGGTCGGGGAGTCAGGGTTTGGAGAGAGCAGCGGAGCAGGTTTCCTCTCCTGAGTCCTGTCTCCTCTGTCTCTGCTAGCTAGCTTAACTGCATACGGAGTATTGCTGAATCCTCTCTCCTCTGCTAGCTTAACTGAATTTTGTTTTTTTATTGCATCGTTAAGATAAGGGGGGTACAAAACAAATCAAGTATCCAGCTACCTTAACTGCATACTGCTGAATCCTCTCCCCGGCAAGCTTAACTGAATTTTGTTTTTTGATTGCATCGTTAAGATAAGGAGGGGGGTGCTAATCAAGTATCCAGTGGCTAATCTCTTCTAGAATGACTAGTCCAAAGAGAGGAAACCACGAAAGGTACAAATCCTTCTGCCACCAGCCGTTTCATCATATATAATAGTTTCCTGTCACGAATCAAATGGGGATATTTCACAAAGGTGAAAGATGACCAAACGGGTATTTCAAAAGGCAATAAGGTGAAAAGTACTCCAGAATTTCAGGGTAGGAAAGATGAACGGATCAGTATGGAAGTGAATGTCCAGGATACATTTCATTGCATTTCACCATTTCAATTGAATACAGTCAAATACAGACGACCATGAATCGACAAATCTGGCCTAGCAAAAGGTAAAACTTCTGCAAAACACATTCTGCGCCATTATTTCCCCTTGATCAAACCTTTGAACCAGACCATCCTTGCCATATGCCACCTGTGTGCACTTATGATGACAGGCTGCTTTGCAGCAGCAATGCAATACACTAGTCAGTAGGATATATATTAGCCACAACTCCCTCCACAGTAGCAGCAATAGGGCTGGGGAGAGGGCTGGAAGTCACAACAACACACACACAAACCCACACGCTACAACATGCATGATATGGCACCACAGAAGCACCCGTCATTGGAAACACTTTACAACAAAAAAAAGACACGAGGAACTCCTCTTCTAGGCTCATCTGGGCAGCCGTTAGATCCTTGGTTTCACGCGTCGTCCATTGGCATCGCCACCATCAAGGACTTCAGTTGAATACAAGCAGGGGCTCACTGAGTGCTCTCCTACCTTGGCCACATATTCAAGAAGCTCGGTTAGGATGGATGGGCAGCTTTGCTGCAAATAATCAAACCCATCGGTTTGCATGACAGCTGCAAAGAAACAAAAAACATGGTTAAGCAGATGTTGATATATGAAAGCATGTGCTCCACCTATTTATGTTCCAGCATAAAGGTGATATATGCCAGTAAACAGTACATTACATAATAATGATACTGAAACACATGGTACAGGATGAACAGTTCTAAGTATCATATTTTGCAGCAAGCATTCCACATAACAAATGATATGATCAGTTACTACCCAGCCAAAATTAGCAATAAACAGTTACGACTAAAGAAATCTTTTTGACAAGCTCTTTACTCATTCCTCAAATAGTCTCAAGACAAACTGTCCACACAGTTTTCAATTCAAAAGAACCCACATGTTTCACATTTTTTTTTAAAAAAAACAACATGAAATTTAGAAAGAATCACCATGTCAACCCCCACCCATCCACCCACAAAAAGAAGGAAAGATCCGGTGAACAAAGTTATAGAGCTAACAAGAACATTTAAACCAGAAATGGTTGGCAGGATTTAAACCCTTAACAAATTATAATCAGAACTTCTACTCATGACAACTGTGATGCACGCTCATCATATCTTTGCATTCATCAGCATCAAATTAAGAGAAATTGGAAGTGTCCCCGTATAACTTAAGCTACAGTGCACAGAATCTAATCAGGCAATTATGCGTCATAGGCCTAAGCCTTACAGTAGTGTTGAAAGACCATAGACCAGTGCAGACAAGTAATGCTACACTTGCAGATTTTCAGCAAAATGTGAGCCTAGAATAAGTCTGGCTATTGACATGATCATAAAACTAAATAGCAACTAGAGCAGATACATACTCAATTTGACCTTCTAGAGCAAACAACTTCCATGAGCAATCAATATAAAATCAAGTTAACATAGAGAAATGCTGCACTTGCCTTTCAAATTCTCAGGCAGAGCCACAAATTTCAAGCAAACAGTTTTTAGCTGATAACAGTGGTGCTGTTCAGCCAGTGCCAAAGTATTTGCCACTGTGTTTATTGCAACATCTTCACACAGCTTAAGTTCACAGAGCAATTTTAATCTCTCCAATGCATAACGGTCTGCAGCAGCAAGTAAATGCTGAGCCATCAAGGTGGATACCCAAGTTGTATTTACACCAGTAAGCTCTTCAATATCCGGCAACTCATCCCAGTACATGAAATGGAGCAAGGCCTGCAAAATTCAACGTGTATAAACTCAAAATGAATAAATAAATGCTAGACGTTGACAAGCAAGAAATTGAATGTGACATGCTTCTGACAGCAAATGGAATTCAAAAGCAAAACTTAGCAAACATAAAAAGGGGGGCGTACCCAGTGCAGAGAGCTCCCGCTCTGTGTGGGGTCTGGGGAAGGGTGTTAGTGGCAAGCCTTACCCTCGCCTGTGCAATGCGAGGAGACCACGACTCAAAACCGGGACCTTCCGGTCACAGGCGGCAAGACTCTACCGCTTGCACCAGGCGGCAAAACTTAGCAAACATACATCTCACCAATTAACAATTAACTTAACTTTGACCTGTAATTTCTTTTATGATATGATCTTTGTAGCAACAAAATCATAACCATAGACTATGGTACTTTCAAATATGAAATTATGAATCTAACGATATCACTTTAAATCTACATCCTGTAATGTTAGTTATTGGTTGAAAATTACAAGGTTTGAATCTTGAAATGTGTGCATGCCTTATATAAAGAAATGGAGGGAGTACCATACTACCATACGATGAAGCAAGTAATAGTAGATGAACTTGACTGCTTAACTATAGGTACTAAGTGAAACTCAGAAATGATGCTAGCAGCACATTGAATCGCTGAAATATCCTAAAAATGGTGCACACCATGGAACATTAGTTAGTACTGTACCAACCATCAAACAGAAAACCAGCTGAGTTCTGCTTTATTTGCTTCCAGACACTCTAAATGCAATCAAAGGAAAGATTTTAATGCTTGAATACAGATTTTCCATTTTTTGCAAGTTGGGGGCTTGGGGCATAATTGAACCGTGTCTATGTTCTGGGTGTTGAAACTACCTACAGTAAATTAGGTATGATGTTTCAGACAATATAAATGATCTGTCTTCTACCTATCTTGTGTCTGAAACGCCATATTTGAGTGATAGGAGGTAGTATATGCCGTTGATGTCAAAATGCATGAACTGTATTTTATTTTTAATTAAATATAACACAGAGATAGTAGTAGCACGGGAGAGATTGCCCCAAGACATGACAGTACCAAAACCAAAGAAGACATATAACCAAGTAAAACCGGGAGCCAGGGTCACCTTGAATACTGGAGCCTCCATGTCTTCAATCTTTATACACTTCATGTCCTTATCCTTCATCGGACCAAAAAGTTGTGCCCTAAAAACAGGAGACCGGGCTGAAAGAATCACTTTGTGGGCAGGAAACATCTCTCCATCAACTTCGAATGCAATGTCTGTCCTCTTTCCACTTGTCAATAGCTGACCAATATGTAGAGCCATGTTGGACCGCGGTACTGGAATTGTGTATATCTTTGGTCCTTCAGTATGTGATTGAACAACGCCAACAGTGCAGTTCACTAAAAGGCAATCATCTTTAAGATAGTCTGATGTTTCCAGGGCAGTTCGTTTGAAGAAACGCTTGTAGCCCCTGCATGCACAGAAAGATAAGTTACTCCCCATAACCAGTGGACAGAAAAAGTAGTCAAGGATCAAATCATGCAGCTATATCCAAGAAGCAACTACACAGCCAGTCAAACTGGATACTGGATAGTAGATGAAATAATGTGTAATAACGGATGCACAGTGGGAACAAAGATGAATCAACACATACATCAAATAAAAGTAATATTGACAGGGTTCTTTTTCAATCCAGAGTCATCAAAACCAAATTATATGGCCCAATCAATAATAACAATACGATAACCAGTTAATATTGACAGGGTAAGGCATAAATCTATAGCACTAGTCACCTCATTGATTCACAAACTAATGAGGCAAAAACAGACAATTAAGCTCTGCGTCTAAACCACATGACACTTACTGCACATCCTGAAAGTAAGGTGTAACAGAAACAAGCTCCGTCATAGAGCAGTCAATGAACTCATGACATGAAGCCAACTAGCCAAGTTCACATGTATAACAAATCGAATTCCAGATCACAAAAAAGATCAAGGCACGCAGAATAATCTCAAGTAACCTGAATTCATCACAATTTTTACAGCAAACCACACAACCAAACCATCAAACGTTCAGCATTAGCCAATGGCAATAACAGGAACCAACTCAGTTTTGAACTTTGTGACATTAACGATAAGAGGAATGCAACTAAGGGCCTATTTGGGTAAACATGGCTAGTTACTAGTGGGGGCTAAATATTAGCCCAAATTAAGTGTGGTTAGTTAGCTAGTTGGCTAACTAGTTGAAGACTCGGCAAAAAAAAAAATAGCCCACCTATTAGCCCTCCTGTTTGGATGCACTTGAGCTAATTTTTAGCTAGCTAGCAATTAGCCCTCGTATCCAAACAGGCCCTAAGAATATCAAAAACTGAATGTACTTCACCTCAAAAAAGTAGTACTTGTGAATACAAAATGGCTAATAAACCTGAAGGGGCAACCAGCCTAACATGCACACCAACATCTCAGTTTCACATCATACAAAACTAAAGTTTCACCAACATAGCCATGTATCTTAGAGGGCATACATCACTTCCTACTCAAGATAATGATCAATTAGCAAATTCTCATTGGGCAGGTCAGTTCAATTTGGCAGGCACGCCTATCTAACACATGCACAGGCTGAGATAGACTCAGCCCATACTGCCACGGTACTTGAGGGATTGGGCAGGTCAGCTCAATTTGGCAGGCACGCCTATCTAACACATGCACAGGCTGAGGGAGACTCACCACATGCTGCCGCGGTACTTGAGGGTGTATGGGCCGCTCTCGAGCGACCTCCCAAAGTGGGTATGCACCTTGTCCTGGCCCTTGCCGCTCTGGTCGACGAGCGTGAGCTCGAACAGCGCGCGCACATCGGTGCCCTCGCTGGCAAGGGCTATGAAGAGCGAGACGTAGGCAGCGCCATCCTCGCCGCTCTTCCCGTCGGGGTAGAAGTAGATCGCCCAGTCGAATCCCCCCACGTTGAAGGACTCGGAGGCGATGAACTTCCCCACCCCGATCCCTTTGGAGAGGGAGTAGCCCGCGATCTTGAAGTGGTGGGAGCCGTTCACCGTCTTGGTGACCGACGAGGACGCCGTCTCGGAGGGGGCCGAGGAAGGGGAGGCGGAGGAGGACGCGGCGAGGGGCGGGAACGGCCGCCCCGCGGCGGCGCCGGCGGCGGGGTGGGCGGAGGAGGGGCCGCCGCGGCAGACACGGCCGGCGCCCATCGCGGAGAAACGGGTCGAGATCGGGCTAGGGTTCCGCCCCGAGCGGCGGCGATTCGGCGCGGATCGGATGGATCGGAGTGGGGCGCGCCGGATTCAGACGCGGGGGCGTGGGGATTCGAGGGTCCGGGGGAGATCGATTTGGGGATTTGGGGATTTGGGGAGGATGGAATGGAGACTCTCGATGAAATGATGGCGATGACGAGCCGACGAGCAGGTGGTGTGTTCTTTGGTCCGGGTTGGGCTTGGGTGGGTATGGGTAATATACGGCTCGCCGTCGCGGACTTGCCGACTCGGCCCGAGACGAGAGAAGGTTGGACACGTGCACCGCGGTCCGTGGGCGACGTACCTTATTCTCTCTCACATAGGGCGTGTTCCGAATCGGCGCCGACCGGTTCAATGTACCTACCTACGGTGTTGATTTGTTTTATTATTAGGCAAACCAGATTGCGAAGTTTTGCGTTAATATTTAGGACCTGTTTGAGGAATTTTTCCTATATTATTATGTATTATGAAAATGTTTAAATAACATTTTTTATGAAAATTACAAAATATGCCATGGGTTTTGTAGGACCTGTTTGAAAAACTATATTATTATTATTATAGATTTAAATAACACCGGAAATTATAAAATATGCATTGTGTGTAAAAAACTATTAATTGTGGCTCCATTTCTAGTATACGGAGTACGTACCTATGCCTATATATGCCCGTCGGCCGCATCAGAACCAACTAATCCGTTCCAATACCTCCAACCCATCCCAATACCCCCACAATTTCTTGCACAAGAGTTTAGAGTTTTGAGAGAAATGGGGAAAGGGCGACGATCCCTCGCCGCCGGTGTGCGCACAGCATGCCCGGATGCTCGCGCCACCATGGCACCGCCTCGGCAGATGTTCGAGCGATTTTCCGAAGAGACTTCTCTCACACGGACCTCCACATTGAGGTCGCGGAGAGGAAGTTGCTGGACCTCACCCTCGCCGACCACGAGAGGTACGCGCTGGAGGCCACGTTGGAGGGCGTCGAGGGCGGTCCCGATGAGGAGCCACTTCCGGAGCACGACGGCGGCGAGGCGCTCCCGGGGCACCACCACCACGACGATGAGGTGCTCTCGGAGCACCACGACGACGACGAGGTGGAGGCGCTCCGGGCTCCACGGCGACGGTGACGCGCTCCCGGAGCACCAAGGCGGCGTCGCGACGGCGAGGGCGCCGTCTTTGCATGAGGGTGTTGTGTGGCGGCGGAAGCGGAGCCAAGCCCCAGTCTGCGAGCAAAGATGGCTCCATGGGAGGTCATTGAGGATCGCCGCGAGAGGTCCAATTTTTTGTTTTTAGCCCTTTTTGAAAGTTTTTCACAAATATGCCCCTGAAGGTATGCTTTTAAAATATGGACCCTTAACTCGGTGCCATCATTGGTGGCACCGAGCTTACACGTCTCGGAGCCAAAGATTATGGCGCTAGGTCTTGGGCTCGACGTAAACGTGGTGGTAACTTGGCAGCCACCTTGGCGCCGTAGATCTTGGCACCAAGCATGGCGCCGTAGATTTTGGCGCCGAGCTTGGCGCCATGGTTATTGGCGCCGAGCCCTGTCTTACGTATGGGCCCTCCCTTCCTTTCTCTCTTCCTCTCTCTCTACCGCTCCCGAGCAGTGGCGCCGCCGCCGCCCGCCGTGGAGCCAGCCGCCTTCCGCGCCGACACGCGCCGCGCTCTCAGGCCCGCGCCCGCGTCGGCCGCCGCCTGTCGGCCGCCCATGGCGCCGCCGCTCGCGCACCGCCCTCGCCCGCGTGGGCGCCGCCAAGATCCGCGTCCTCCGCGCCGCCCCCCCGGCGCCGCCGCCTTGTCCTGTCTCGGCTCACCAATGGCGTCCGCCCACGCCCGCGTCCTCCACGCGCCACCCCTCCCGGCCCGCGCCCCTCTCCGTGATCCTAGCCGCGACATGGGTTGCCGCCCGGTAGCGTCGCGATCTCGCCGTCGATCCCGTCCTCCGCGTCCCCGTCCCGCTCTAGTCCCAACGTCCACGTCCACATCGTATCCCCAGCCTGCTCCGCCCGACCACAACCCCGGCCCCTGCTCCGGCATCCGCGAGCGTACCCCTCCTCCCCCGCAGGGGAGGGGCTGGTGTCCTATTGCAAGGCCACAACAACCGCCAGAGCTTTGTTCGCCTCCAATGTCGCGTGTTGTGTTTGTTGCATTGACTTGGACAGTTAAAATTTTTGAATATGCAATGTAGGTACTTAGTTAGCTTGAATTGTAGTGCTACTTTGATTATTTGGTAGTTTCTAGTAAATTTGATGATGTAGGAAGTTGAGTTGGTTAGTGAGATAAATATAGTTAGATAAATATAGTTAGATAGCTAGTGACATAGGTACATAGATATAGTTATTAGATAGCTATTTGATTTAGTTAGTGAGATGAATATAGTTAGATAAATATAGTTAGATAGCCAGTGACATAGTTATTTAGGGTGTAGTTGGTTAGTATGTATTAGAGAGGTACTATATAGCAACTACTTTGGACTAAACAAAGTGTATTTCAATTTTTGTTTGAACTACTAGATGGACAACCTAGTGAGTATATATTATGGAGGCACCGTAGAAAGAGATCGCTACGGATATGTTGAGTGTGTTGAGATGCAAAGCATGCCTATGTTTTCAATGAGAAACCTTCATTTCGTGAGTTGGTTGCAAGGGCTCGGGAAGAGCTACATTGCCATGGAGTTGATGATGATGATGGCATCGTAGTGGAGGGTGTACTTCACCTAGGTTCCCCTCTCAACATCCTAAGGAAGATGATCCCAATTGTATGTGTAGACCAGTGGAAGAACTATGTGAGATCAGCTATGAAGTGCCAGTTTCAAAGTTTAGACGTGGTTGTGCGTCGGGTGTTAGTTGATCCTATCTCTCATGGGTTTTTCCCACCAATGGGTCAGCAGGCACACTTCGACCCTCCCCCCCCGGTCTCGGAACCTGATATGGATGTGGAGGTTGCACCTATGATTCCTGAAAGGTCCTAATATGGCTAGTGGGGGGGTGAATAGCCTATTTAAAAACTACAAATCAACTAGAGCAATTTGATTAGTAAGACAAATAGCGAAATGCAAACTTGCTCTAGCTCTACAAGGGTTGCAAGCCACCTATCCAACAATTCTAGTTGCAATGATCTATTTGCACACAATCTACTTGACCACTACTCACTAAGAGCTCTCACAAAAGCTACACTAAAGAGCTCCACTAGATATGTTTAAAGCACAAGGCAAGCTCTCAATTCTAATTACACTAAAGAGCTTGCTATATCTAGTTTGCGGAAATGTAAATGAGTAAGTGAGACGATTATACCGCCGGGTCGTGGAGTGAACCAATTACACGATGAATATATAGCCAATCACCGGGAGAATGCAAATGACAAGAGACAACCAATTTTTCTCCCGAGGTTCACGTGCTTGCCAACACGCTAGTCCCCGTTGTGTCGACCAACACTTGGTGGTTCGGTGGCTAAGAGGTGTTTCACAAACCTCGTCCACACGATAGGACACCGCAAGAACCGACCCACAAGTGAGGTAACTCAATGACACGAGCAATTTACTAGAGTTACCTTTCGGCACTCCGCCGGGGAAGGTACAACTCCCCTCACAATCACCGAAGGCGGCCACGAACAATCACCAACTCGTGCCGATCCTTCACCGCTGCTCCAACCGTCTAGGTGGTGGCAACCACCAGAGAAACAAAAGCGAAATCCAGCAGCCAATAACACGAATACCAAGTGCCACTAGATGCAATCACTCAAGCAATGCACTTGGATTCTCTCCCAATCTCACAATGATGATGGATCAATGATGGAGATGAGTGGGAGGGCTTTGGCTAAGCTCACAAGGTTGCTATGTCAATGAAAATGTGCAAGAGTATTTCCTTGAGCCGGCCATGGGGCTATAAATAGAGTCCCCATCAAATAGAGCCGTTGTACTCCTTCACTGGGCAAAACACACTCTGACCGGACGCTCCGGTCATACCGACCGGACGCTGGCCCTCAGCGTCCGGTCGCCCGATGGACGCCACGCGTCACCGGCTTCAAACGATGTTCGTCGATTTCAACAGCTCTCTGGTGGCGTGACGGGACGCTTCGGTCAAAAGACCGGCCGAGACGCTTGAAAGCCCAGCGTCCGATCGTTTCGATAAGCTCCCGAGGCGTATTTCTTCGACCGGACGCGTCCGGTCCACCTTGACCGGACGCGGACCGGCGTTCGGTGCTCAACCCTTCCCATCATGTGTGCCGTCGACGGCTCGATCGGACGCAGACTTTTTCGGCGTCCGGTCATTGAGTGATTCAAATATCCGGTCGAGAGACCGACGCTTGACATCATTTCGACCAACTCCATTTCAACTCTAACTTCTTCACCATTGCTCAAATGTGCCAACCACCAAGAATTTTGCATCCGGTGCAATAGAAAATAGACATTTCATTTTTCAAAAGCGCGAATCATACCGCAAGCTCAAGGGGGAGAGAGGGACCCAAACCCATCTCAACCCTGCAAACACCTTGTGCACATGTGTTAGCATATTTTCACAAATATTTTCAAGGGTGTTAGCACTCCACTAGATCCTAAATGCATATGCAATGAGTTAGAGCATCTAGTGGCACTTTGATAACCGCATTTCGATACGAGTTACACTCCTCTTAATAGTACGGCTATCTATCCTAAATGTGATCACACTCACTAAGTGTCTTGATCACTAAAACAAAATGGCTCCTATATTTTATACATTTGCCTTGAGCCTTTTGTTTTTCTCTTTCTTCTTTTCCAAGTTCAAGCATTTGATCATCACCATGCTATCACCATTGTCATGATCTTCGTCATTGCTTCATCACTTGGAGTAGTGCTACCTATCTCATAAACATCTTGATAAACTAGGTTAGCACTTAGGGTTTCATCAATTAACCAAAACCAAACTAGAGCTTTCAATTCCCGATGCTCAATATGTCCTCAATGTGCTAGTTGGAGATGCTTGT